CCAAAAGGGTCCCCGCCGCTGCGCCCTCCCCACTCTAATGATCCCATTTGTCGGCCTTACAAGCATCCGACATTTCGCCGCTGTCCATCGCACATTCTGCTGTGGCAGTTAGCGACACATCTGTCACTAGCCGCTCCACGCCATAAATATTTGATGACAACAGGCCGCCTGCTATGGAAATTTATCCACATTACATGTTAAGAAAAAGTGGGGTGGGTTTTCTTTCATTCTTGCACTTGTCATCAATGTGGATATTTGTTACAGCCACAACGCTAAAGCTCGTTAGGGGGGAATTAGCAGGTCGTTAACATTCCGATTGGAAATGGGAGAAGAGAAAGTTGGAAAATATTACGGTTTAAAATCAGTATTGAGGTTTAAAATCAATATATATTCCCGTTTCTGAACACAGCAGATGCATCACTTTCACCAACTTTTTGACACCAATTACTACTTGCCTATTTAGCGAGGGCTTTAGTGCCATATTGTGGCATTTTAGGAGATAGAGAAATGGTCAAAAACAAAAAGACTCATAGACGATCGGAAAAACGAGAATATGTGAACAAGGGTTTCACTTTATGTTGTAAAGAAATGTATCTTGGTAGACTGAAAAGCACATGAAATGTCTACTTGGTTTATATTCACAAAAACAAGAGCCTGTCGGGGTTTTTTTGTCCTCCAATCTCGAGCCTATTAAGTGGTAATTTGGTAAATCCCGTGACACATAAAAAGTAGGCTACACGTCTGCAAACTGGGTTAAAGCATAAAGTGTATCTGTCTTCTCCATTTCCCCCCTTTCCTCCCTCGCTTCCTCTCCTTCCTTGCGTAATTGTTTTGAATGGAGCGGACCCGACAGAAGGCGAGAAAGAGAGCTAGCAGGAGGAAGGAAGCGCAGGAGCGGTGAGCGGGTGGGGGCTTGTGGAGGCGTGTGCTCCGCCGGCCAATGGCGGAGCGTCTCGACGGCGGGACCGCACATGTTTACGTGCAGCATTCCGCCGGTTGAGGCTTGAGCCGAGTCCGTACTGGAGCATTCCGCAACTGGACGCGGATCCCTTGAAAGCGCGTGTTTTCAACTAATTTAACTTACGGCGGGTGCACGACAGCGAATAGCGTCGAGTAGAAAGGTTTAAACGCGACAATTGAAGCGAAGTCGTCGACGAGAAGAAGCTTGGTCGACCGGCTTGACGCCATTTTGCTCCATCGTGTAAACGTAACATGGCGGCTAGGCCAGCTCCGCGTTTTCTGGCCGACTTCTCTCCCAGCTAGCGAGGCAGGCAGCGAAAACAAACAGGTCGAAGAAACGAAAAAAAACAGAAGCAGGAGCAAGATTGGCAGCGGGTTTTGGACGTGGAGAGAATTGTTTGTCTTGTCTTCACCGCGGAAGTCGGCGAGGACGACGACGGCGTCCGTTCGAGTGTCGAGCTCAACGAGTATGTTCCCCCTTCCGGACGTTTTGTCAGGGCACCCGCTGCTGCCGCCCCTTGACGTTGTTTACCAGTCCGACAGCTTCATGCTGTAAAAATAAATAAAGAAAAATCCCTCCCCTTCCTCCGGTAAATTCGCTTTGGACACCCGCGTAGAGATGCACACCCGACGCCTGGTGAAGCGCTCCGTCCTCGGCAGCCGAGTGTACGCGCCGAGCCCGACCGGCGACGGCGCTCCGGTGACCGGAGTGGTCCAGGCTGTCAAGCAGGAGAGCGGCGGGGACGCGGGGGCCCGGCGTGGCGGAAACACCAGCAGCGTCTACACCGTGCTCCTGCCGGACGGCAGCCTGAAGGAGTTCGCGGAGGACGAGATAGCCGCTGCCGGCTTGAACCACGCGAAGGGGACGCTCAAGCCCAGCTTGAAGGTACGTGAAACGAAGGGGGGACGGTCGAGGGTGTTGTGGCCGTTTTCGGGGCTTCCTCCGCGGGACGCCTTGACTTTCAGTGCCCGGGGCGTGATTAACGACGGCGAGTAAACAGGACGAGCAAAAAAGACGTGCTGTCATGACATTTTGGAGACATTCTGCAATGTGGCACAAAGGGCTCCACTGCGGGGCCTGCGCCGTGTTCTTGTGCTCTCGTGGGCGGCTGGGCAGAAGCAAGCAAACGACAACAGCCATTTGACTCCTGGTGTCCTGCACTTTAACAAATTTTCTTCACATTGGCAATCAGTTATTCAGTTTCGAGCATCCAATATAGCGTCAGATGGCGACGAGTTGTTTTTGTCACGTGGCGTGATGTAATCAATACACAACAGGACGTTTTAAGCTTGTCTTTCTTATATTTGTAAAAATTTTCGTGGGTATTGCAATCGATCGTTCGATGTCAGTCATCCCATTTGATAGAAAATCGCACGCGTTTTGCAGTCTAACCATAATTGCATGTGCTCTTTCTTTTTGTCGCATGGTGGCATGATGCAAACTACTCAACACAGTAAATAATTGTCATTTGTCCTAATTATATTTTGACACATATTCATGAGCAGCGAAACAAACTGTTTGATTTCCTTCAACATAAAAATGGCACGCATTTTGTCTTATTACCATAGCTTGCTTTTGTTTTGTTGTTGCTTTTGCCAACCGGCATGATGAAAAAACGTAACGCAGCACAGGACATTCGAATCACGCCTTCTTCATATTTTGTCCTCTTACATCACGTTAGCTGTCTTCATTGTCATACAAATGTTAAAAAGGAGTAAGTACAACCAAAAACAAAATATGTTCTTTCAAGCATTTCATTTCACATCTGGCCATTCGTCGTTTTAAATAGTGGTTGGTTGTGTTTTGTTGCTGTTGTGTGTCACGTGGCACGATGACAACAATGCCCAAGACAGGCCAGTGCTATTTTAAGCCTGTTCTGTTTTCACTTGTCTAATGTCACATGTTACCATTCTTAATAGTTGTCCAGGTAAAAAAAAAAAAAAAAGAATTTTAGGTTCAACTTAAAGTAAAAGTACTCACCCAAAATGGACGTGCAACCACCACCACTTACAACAATTGGCCAAACAGGCCATGCATCCATTCATTGAAAAAAGCCAAAAAGTCCAAACAATTTTCAGGAGCAGTATGTCACTTCTTGCTAGGCAGCGTTTGAGGAGTCTTGATTGGAGTTGCCCCGGTGTAGGTGAACGCCGAAAACCGGACGGAAAAATATTTGAAATGTTTTAACCATAAAACAAATGTTAATAAGAAGTTCAAAAAATAAAGATCAGGTAAACTACTCACCCTTGAAGGAATTTAGCAATACTGACCCCTAGTGGTCACAAAGGATCACTTGTGGTGGCGTATGGATTGATTGATTGATTGATTGGCCTGTTCCTTAGGCCTTCAAATGATTTGCATGGCTTGATTTAAAAAGTAATAATAATAATTCATACCAGAGATAAATATGTACGCAATAAAACACCGTTTGGGTATTTACGGCAAATGTATACACAGTAAAATTACACAGAATGTGTGAATTTACAGCGAGCGTTAATTCGTGGAACCGCCCTCGTTTTTATGTTGTCGTAATTTAATGAATTCATTTCATTTCCTGTTCAGTGCTTGCCAATCACACTCCTTGCGAGGCTCACTGAGCTGAAGTCTCACCAATTTTTGGTACTATTGCGCAATTACGAGGCTTATTTTGACTTAAAACCTCAAATTGTTCAACTTTAGCCTCGCAGTGTTTACGTTTGTAACCTCAGGAAACTAAATAGCCCGTGTGGGCGTATGTGTGTGCGCGCACGTGCAAGCCCGTGTTTAGAGTGTCCACAAAGGGGGTTAGCAATGCACAATGGTCACAAGTGTCCCTCCGAGTTCGAAAACAAGCCGTAAAATGAGGAAGAGGCGTGTGTGTGTGTGTGTGTGTGTGTGTGTGTGTGTGTGTGTGTGTGTGTGTGTGTGTGTGTGTGTGTGTGTGTGTGTGTGCGCTTGCGTGCGTGTGTTGCTATTTCAAACATGGTGGGTTTTTGTTGTTTGTGAGGGTACGCCGCCGACCCCCTTGACGCAGCTGCACAGGCCAACAAAGCGGGCACCCCCAGGTCGGCAGCGGGTGGCATCCTCCGAGGAATCTGAGCGCTTGGCGACATGCCCGCGCTGCCGAACAAACGAAGGAGGGTGTGTGTGTGTGTGTGTGTGTGTGTGTGTGTGTGTGTGTGTGTGTGTGTGTGTGTTCATAGCCACTTGTTGGCAGTGTTTGTGATTTGGCACCATGCCAAAAGAGGCATCACTATTTGCATGGGGTGGTGGGCAAGTCTGGAATGGATGAGGCGGCTTTCATTGACAACAGCTAGTATTGCTTCCCACAACGCGTAGGATTTTTTTTTTCTTCTTAAAAACATGTTTTCATTTTGAGTTTTTCCTCTGCAAAATTACTCTTGGATTTTTAAACAAAGTAATGTTCTGAATATTACTACCGGTATATTGTACAAAGGTATATTGTTTGAAATATCAAATCACATTCACAGTTTGAATAATACCAAAAAAAAGAAAACAGTTGATTCAAATAAATCAATTTGAGCTTTCATGAAATACAATTGAAATTATAGTCAAGCTAGTTTTATCTTCTATGATTATGCTTTTTGTTTTTCATGTTGTTTATTTATTGGCAAAGAACCTGATGAATTTCCGTCTTACTTCATTTCCATGTTCAAAATAATTCCTCAAAAGAAAAAAAAAAAGAAGAACTAGAAGATTTAAAACAATTGTTTCACTAAAGTAATTCGCAAAGTGTGCAACAATTGCCTCAAGATGTACGCGGGCTCCCTCTTGAGGCATGTGAAAGAATCGCTGGATTCTGTGTTGAAACTGAATTGCCTTTCTTTCAATCCACGACAGCACATTTCACTCCGGTTCAGTTTTAGTTAACTTTTGAGTACAATACGTTTGCATTTAATCACGAGAATCTATTATTTTCATGTAGCTGTTTTTTTAACGTTATTTTTACCTGTAATACATTTGAATTGAATCCATTTTCAAGTCATCATTTTTTTTACGTTCTGATAGTGGAGTGCAGTGTTGATGTTCCAACTCTGCCTGTTGCATCTCCGCAAACATGATCCTTGACGATCGCTGAATCGCCTCATCAATTATTATTGCATATTTGTTTTTTTCTACCCAACTGTTTGTTTTTATGTGAGCAAGATGATTTGATTTACTCACCTTCACAAAACAGCACGTACTGTATACAGGCCATCATTTCAAATGCATGGCTCTGTCTCCGGTGAATCTAACGTGCCGGTGACATTTCATTGTGAGGCAGAGTCATTTCTGACTCTTCACCATTGAATGTGTCCAAGTCTCACGAGCACTTGAGAAGCATTTGATGCATCCAGTCCTAACCGTGTCTTCCCCCACTCAGAGCTCCATTAACGGAGGCCCAGAAGGGCAAAAGGCGGACGGCCCTGAGACGACGACGGCGGAGAGCGACCACCGCGAGACAAACGGCAAACGAATGGACCCCTGTCGGTCGGTGTCCCTGCTGGAACAGAAGCGCAAGGTTGTCTCCTCCAGCATCGACGTCCCCCACGCCAGGTAGACACTCATTTGGCTTTGCCCTCTCCCCCCCCCCCCCCCCCAAAAAGAAACAAAAGAAAATATCTCCCCACCACCTCTCAGGATAATTTGGGGCACGTGTGTCGGTGCCCCAAGTGCATTGGTTAACCATAATTACTTTTCTTAAAAGACTCAAATACATCTGCAAAGTAAAAATCCAGCTCTGAGAATTGCCTGCCAGCTTTATTTATTTATTTTTTGTGGGAACAAAGATACTTCCCGTCAGCCTTTCAGGGTAAGTGGGGGGCACTTGCGCAGGTGCCCCACAAAGATTGGAAAATTGCGGTTACATTTTTTAAAAGATCAAAATCCCAAGTAAAAACTAAACTATGCAGATAGCTTTATCATTGAGTTCAATGGATCCACTAGGGGCTAGCTTATGTTGCTAGTCTCGTTAGTTTAGCTTGCTAGCACCGCCCCTGGTAACTCAGGCCTCTTGCTGTTTGTATAACAAGCTAGCAGCATATTCCTATTGTACAGCTAATACAAGTAGGTTATTTGTGATTCCTGAAGGAATTGGATAGCGCGGGGCAGTTGTGCAGCCGCCCCTGATGCATCGTTTGCTTTGTGGACAACCCCGTTTTTCAGGATTAGTTTGGGTTTATCATCGCTACAAGTTCTTTCGCACTTCACAGGAAACTTGTGTAGGTCCCCAAGTGCAGTGCTTAACCATTACCTCTTAAAAAAAAATTCACACCCTAATAAAACGGAATGCAAATGGTCACATAATTTTATCCGGGGTTGGTTCCTGAAGAAAAAAAACAATTTTTTTTGTCAACTTCTTTGGCTAACCCGAGGGCACAAACACAGCTGTCACAGCAAGCACAATTTGTTAGCCATCATTACTTACCATAAATGTATCTCAAACCTCCCAAATTTTCTCATTGACTGTGTGTGTTTGTGTGCGTGTGTTTACGCAAGTTGACAGCGAGTGTGAGGTCTCACTGGGAGGGAGTTCAACAGAGCAAAGTTCAGCAAAGGTTTATGACATAGTTGTGTCACTGCCGTGTGACATCCACTTTCATCACCGTGTGCTCCGCGTGGCCACAGCCAGTTTTTGTGTGTTGAACGGATGATGTCATTGTAACGCCTCCAGTAAAGGCCGGGCCTCAAATAAACGCCGCGCTCCCATCAGTTGCCCGGTGTTTTGTCTCGAACCTTCATAGAAGCGTTCCGTCACTCCTTTGGCTATTGCTCACTCTCGCATGCGTCGTTAACTGCGGAGGCCATTTGCTAACCAAAACAGCAGACTCTATCAAAAGTACTTAAAAAAAATAAAAGTAAAAGTCTGGTGTCTTACCATATGTTAACTTCAGCGGCAATCACCAGAGCACACGGCTTCTTCGCGTCACAATGGCGTTTTAGGATCCACAATAATGGGCAGCAATTTGCCCCCACTTGACAAGTCATTATTTTTGAGACTGGCACTTAGAGCATAAATTCTAAAAGATCCCAATTGTAAAAATAAATGAATAAATAAATAAAATAGACTGCCTGAGCAGCGAATAGAACCCCAAGCGCGGCCATTATTGCCGTGAGATTAAAGAGCCTCGGATCTCCGTCCGTTGCCCATCTGCGACCACACACTCACATTTATCTATAATGGAGGCGAGTGGGTAAGGAGACGAAAGGGGGGTTGTTAACAAGGGAAAAAAAAAAGGTGACTGATGGAGGGGGAAAATGTCAGGGGATTTTGTTCCCCCCCCTTTTCATTTTTCACTACCGGCTCCCTGGAGAATCTTGACTTTGGGGTTGTTAATTGTACTCTCCAGAAAGTTTCTTGCTGGTGATTTAGTGAGAAAATGTCCGGCCCTCCGGCTAACTCGTTAGCTACGCGCTAGACATCCTGAATATCTCGCCTGCGCTGAAAAAAAAAAGACACGGGTGGAGGTTTGAGAAATGTAAGGCTTCAGGAGGTTATACAGTGAGCCTTTGAAGGTGACATCCAACTCCCAAACGCCCCCTTCGAAATATTTATATGAAAGTTGGTACGTGTGGCCGTGCGGAAAGTGGTCATTGTGGCACATTTCTGATTTGTTTCAGACACATTAATCAGCGTCTTTCTTTTTATTCATGCCTTCCAGCTTCTCACTCCAAAGCAAAGGGGCTCACTGTTTTCCCAACACGCAGGAAAGAGTCAATTGTAACCGGAGCTGAGCAGGGCTCGCCAGCGCTTTAGCCTTTTGACAAATGGTTTTGCGGCGACTAATTGCTAGAAAGGGGAAATGAAGTACAAGCTCCAGTTGTTCTGCTCCAAAACAAGATCCTCAAGAGTTGTTGGGAACGAATCAGAAATGTAGGATGAGCTGCGTCGTGCCTCTGTTCCACTTCACAGAAATTTGCGGGTCGACTTTTGGTACCTTTCACGCAGAACAGTAACATGGGAAAAAAAAGACAGCCTTGACCTTTCACGCAGAGTCTCGTGTGAAATTGTAACATCGGAGACGTAACAGTCGGCTGCAGCACCTCTGGTATGACCTCAAGCCTTCCATTCCATGTTTGTACCGTTCACGCAGAACCACGCGGCAAGGAAAATGCGCAACAAAAGCCAGCTGCAACCAGCATTTGCCAAAGAAAAGCGTTTTTCCCGTACCGATCGCTATCTCCAAGCGTCCGCGTTCTGAATGGATTAAAGGACAAGCTTGTCTCCCCCCACCCCGCAACTATTTTCTCCTTCGTTAACTTTTCCGACGTCCGATACAATCTGAGTGTGGCTAAAAATAACCAAAATGTGCTTTTCATTTATACGCCGCAAATGTTTGGAGTGTGCGTCCATACCAGGCGAGAGTTTTGTATCAACAACATTAGCATAACTTGCTGTAGCTAGCCTGCTTAGATTAGTATTCTGTTTTTATGGCGGTATTATTTTTTTAAGTTGCCAAACTGAACCATTTTAGGGATAAAGTGTGCCGGATTTTCAACCGCATGGCTTCATCCACTGCCTGCAACTTGAGTTTCCCGTCTACGATCATCTCGCGCAGCAGAAGAATCCCCATGTTAATTCTTGCGCAACCAGTGGAAAAGCTCTAAAATTAGAGCGTCATTATCTCATTGCAGTCAAGCGCCCTCTGCATTGTTGTATGATCATATTCCCACATTTCTGCCTTTAGCCTCGCCGTAACGACGAGTATTTAAAAAGAAATAATAAAAAATCAGACCTTTCTGCGTCGGGAAATAATCAAGGCGCCAGACAAAATCGGCCCTTGTGACGCAACGATGCGTGTGAAAGTTTTCCTCCAGGCAGTCTTTGTCGATGACTTCAATATTGTATCATTTGGCATCCTCCATCTTCACGGACCTCCGCCAGGGACAAGTGCCTCGCAGAAGGAAATTTAGATGACGGCTCCAAAGGAAGCGTTTTTTTGGTTCAGGGCTGGAAAACCACAACGGTCGTTAGCCACGCCACCAGATCGCTAGCCTGCGATCCCCTCGTTGAGGAGGAAGATTTATGGCCCCGCCGCGTCCAAAATAGTTGAGCGCGGACTATAAAGTCCAGAGCCAAAATGCTCAGGGTTATATTCGGTGAAACCCAAGCCTTCAAATATTTACTCGCGGAGAAATCTGGAGCGAGAGAGTCGTAAATCTGACTTTGTCGTAAACACATTTTCATGCCCCTTCCGATGAATGTTGCTATGAAAGTTTTTAATTAGATCGACATATGCATCCGTTATTAATCGATTCTGGTGCATTTTATAACCATCGGTCTAATTTTCACAACCATACGGTGTACCGACAAAACACGGGCCTGTGCGAATTGGTGACAAAGTTCACCTGCAATGCTGCCGAAAAGGAGTCACTCGTTCAAGTCGATATGCAAATGGATGCTTTTAATTACGCGTGCTGAATGTCAGCGAGCATGGATTTGCCGACGCTTGGTTTGAGAGCCGTCGGTTGTGCGGGCAGCTGCAAATCTCTGCGTTAAAATTAATTTGCCGGCCCCCTCACACCCTGCCGTGTATGATACGAGGCTCTAATTGGGACAATTTCACGATTTTGAGGATCGTAACGGGTCGGTTTTAACTGCAAAAAAAAAAAAAAGTGTCCTTGTGGCGCCGAGGCTGTAAAAAAAAAAAAACATGGCGCTGGTTCTTAGGAGCCAAGTTGACCAGGTCTTTTCTTGCCTGCATTGTCGCATCCTGTTGGCAGCGGCGGCATGAATCAATCCAAGAGAAGAACATCACCGATATGCTAATTTGCCCTACTTGTGTCTGTGAGTGAGGCTGCCCGTGTAATCATTGCCTGCTCGCTATCTATAATGCATATCGCATCGGGCCTGCGTTGACGCGATACCGGTTCCCCTCGCGCTAATCCATAGTTGCGGGCTTTAATGGAGCGCCGACTCAAAGTGCTGCGCCCGGAGAATAGGCTCTAATTGATTCTATGGACAGGCGCACATCGACGGCGCAATCGGCGGCGTCTATAGTTCCACGAGGCGGGCCGAATTGACGGCTGCCACTGTCGCAATTTGCGGCCAAAACCAACGCACTAATGAGGCGCTGGACGTAGCGGCGGCCTTCCTTCATAAATCCGCAGAGAGGACTTTGACCTGACCTCAGCCAGAAAATTGATCAACTTGCCATATCGATAAGTTGCACAGTTACTTTACGCAATTTAGAGAGTGTTTGTTTAGGTCCGTTTGAACGAACATTTTAAGGGTATGCCACAGTTCAACAAGAATAAGAACACTTTTTAGGTTCTTCGAATCTGACAAAACGCTGTTTAGAGGACATGAATGGGGCTTAGTGAGCTAGCTTGCGCTCAGTGAACTAGCTTGCGCTCTTAAGAATCCCAGCGAAGTTACTGCGGTCTTTCCTGTGTTTCATTTGATTGTTTAATATTTATGGCCAGAAAGTGTTTTTTTTTTAAACATTATTATTTTTATTATTATTATTTCTTTCCTGCAACTGTGAGTTCACTACTGAATTAGTGAGTCCAATTGAAAAAAAAATTAACGACAAAATTGGGTTGTCGCAGCTGTGGTAACAGAATTTAGTTGGCAGGCTTTGTGATGTGCTCCCTAAAATGCAAAGTAACGCAGGATAATATTCCTCTTGCTTTTTTTTTTAAATCAATTTAATTCCCAACCCCCCTCCCCCACAAATCTGTTTGTTGAACTTGTACATTTCATTAGAATAGGGCGAGAGCGATCACGTGGAGCATCAGACTCTCCTTTTCATTTGCCGTCTGCTTCTCCAGATGCAACCAATGTCTTTTGGCGCACAAGGGGAGAAGGTAATGCGCTCGACTCGGCGACAACTCTGCCGTTTAATTTCACCTTAGTGAGCAATTGGGCGCGCGTCGATGCTTGATGCGTTTGCTGAAAGCGGAATTTCATCAAAGTTTGATAATCGGATTCCCATCCACGCCCCGTCGTTAATAACGCAGACGTTGAGTTAAAAAGCACGCAACAGATGTCCTGGTAAGCTATTAATTGAAAGTTTTCCATTTGTTGTTCTCCACATCAAATGAGCATCTGTTCTGCCTCTGATGTTACATAAATCTCGCCCGAAGAAAGACAAGAGAGAGAATCTCCTTTTTACGTGGCAATCCCGCAAGAGGCCGCCTTGGGTGTCTTTGGTGTTTTTTCCTCATGAGCAGGCAGCTGACCAGAACCGTAAATACACAAAAAAAAAAAAAAAAAGAGCTCAGGCAGGAATTTTAGAGGCTAATCTGTCATTTGCCAGGCTTGTGAGCTTGCTCCAGCACTTGGCCAGATGTAGTGTATAGCAACGTAACAAAGAAACAAAGTCCAACTTCTCGTCATGATGATGATGATGGAGAAACTTGATGAGCATGGATTACGTCTTAAGCTGAGTTTGTACAGTTCAGAATTTAACCAAAACTGTGAACAAGAAAAAGTCATTTGCAATCAGGAACTCAGTGCAACAGGCATCCAACCGATTGGCTTCAGTGTTTTTTTTTTTTTTACACTGTTAACTAGGTCTGCAACTATTGAATCTTTTCAGAATCGAGTATTCTATTAATTATTCCATTAATTAAAGCTGATTTTTCATGATGAACACACAATACAGTTGATGTGAGATTCGGTTATTATTTTGTCCACTTGCAGGTGCCATCCTCACGTCCGACTGGGATGTCCGTGACTTTGAATGTGTACGGTTTTAAAAGGCGGGGCCTCGTGACCGATATGGGTGTCAGCAAATGAGAGTGTGTGGTTGGCTGGTTGTTCATTTGCTAACCTTTGCTTGTCTTTTATGGACGCTTTCCTCCTGTGGGAAAATTATTCTTGCATTCGGCTGAGATTTTGCTTGGGCTATTTTTGTCATCGAACTATTTGACATCCTATTAGGCAATTAATCGTTGCATGCTTACCAAGCGCTTATTTTTACATCTACACTTTCGAAGTAAGGTAAAACTCCCATCATTTGGTTTTTACCAACAGTGTAATTTTTGTAAAATATTTTATATCATATCAGAAATCACACCGAGGGGTGTACTCATTTTTGTTGCCATTGTTGTATATATTCATGACTGCTTGCTGCGTCCTTTTGAAGGCACGGTCATACAAGCTCGACACTGACAACTTGGATCAAAATGTTGAATTCCTCAGAAAAAAAAATTACCCGTAGATTGAACAAAGGTTATACCCCGGCAACAATGGGACCTCAATGAGCGTATTATGTCTGTTTCCACGGCACCGCTAAATCAAATAATTGCTTTGACTCGGTGGCTAATAGCGCTTCCATCCCATTGTTGCTCATCTTATTGTTCGTTGCAGACATTGGTCATTAACCGCGCCGCTTTTACCTGCGACCAAAAGACAAACGCGTGGGGGAGGATCATTCCTGTTATCTTCGCGCTGAGCAAATTGCGGGGGCACCAAAGCCTCCCCGACGCTTCGCCTCGTATGAGGATAGAATGTTACAGTGAGCTCTGTTTATCGCCGGAGCAGCGGCTGACAGCAGAGAGTGTGCTCTAAGTGTGTTTTACAATTTTTTTTTTGTCCTCTCGGCGGTCAATAAGCATGGGGAAAACACAGCCGTGACTGTGGCTCTCCTTTCCCACCCGTAAGTGAAGTGTAAATACAGTTAAAACATTGACTGGTGAGTTTAATTTGTTTCTTGGTCATACTCATAACTCAAATCACTTGTATCTTAAATGAAATTTCCCCAGTAAAATGATTGGAAATGTCATTAATTTGTTCCAGACCCGCAAAAAAAAAACAAAAAAAATAAGATTTCTGAAGTGTTTTTAGTCATAACAAAGCACTATAATGGACTGTACTGTACAAAACATCTACAGTGAAACTCCTCTACAACGAAACCTACATGGACAAAAATACCATCTAGTGTGAAAAAATCTTAATGCATTAACACCATTCCCACTTTCCTGCCCCCCATACAATGAAAAAAACCCTTGTTGCGTTATACGAAATCTTTTTCTTTGCCTCGCGACGAGATTCACTACAGCGAAGTGTAATCCAACAGCAACCTCTACTGCTTCATTCGGAAACGGCAACAGCAACCACCACACTGGTTTACACATGCGCAGTAGCCCAAGAAGTATTTGGTATTGTTAGTTTCAGACGCAGCAAGAACGTTGCATTGCTAAAATGGCTACAAAACGGACCTTTGGATGTCAAGCAGCTAAGACAAGAAGAGCTCTGACGCAGGAAGAGAGGGTAAAAGTGATCAAAATGAAAGACAGAGGAAACAAAATAAAAGACATCACCCAAGAAATTGATGGAACCGAAAGTGAATGCTGATCGTAAATTTCACAATTTCTTTCCCTTTTTTTTCTTTCTACACTGACTATATGAAGTGTGAAATAAGTGTATGCTCATACTTATGCACTATTGGAAGAAAAATAGAGTACACATACGTTTGTGTGCGTGCGTGTGTGTGTGCGTGTGTGTGTGTGTGTGTGTGTGTGTGTGTGTGTGTGTGTGTGTGTGTGTGTGTGTGTGTGTGTGTGTGTGTGTGTGTGTGCACGCGCGCGCGTGCGTGCGTGCGTGTGTGTTTACATCTGAGATCAAATTTGCTACAGTGAAAAACCCCCTTTTGTGAAAAATTTCTTGCTGCAAACATGATTTCGTTGAAGAGGAGTTTCACTGTAGTAGCATAATAAACTTGAATGTAATTTTTTTTTTCCCCCTTACTTGCTCCATTTTTAGTCTTTGACTTTAAGTGAACTTAATATGAACTGTTTTTTTTTGTTTTTGTTTTTTTGGCCACAATTTCCTCATTTTCAGCAGCTTCTCTTTTCATGGACAGGTTAGTTAGCAACTTTGAATTTATTTTAACACATTTGGCTGGCTTTAGAACCTTTTTTTCCCCCCGCTCCTTCTGCTTTAGTACTACTCCATACCCAGTCCACACGTACACCACCCCCCCCCTTCCCATTTTTTCATGATTTTAAGGACTCCTTTCAAAAGAAGGAAATCTGGTGAAACCTGCACCCAAAAAATGGAAACACAACAAGCTAACCATCTGAACTGATTGTGGCCAGATGTTGGGAAATTCACTGCCACCATCTGTTGGTGGAGGTTCAGTAGCTCACTTTTAAGTCACTTTTTTTTTTTCTCACAACGGAAAGTGAAAAACTGACCAAGTCGTATTTTGTAACTCTGAAAATCTTGGAAGTTGTATCACTCTGGGGGAAAAAAAAAAGATGAAATGGCGAACACTGTAGCGTTACACTTCCACACTTCTCGCCCCATCGTCATTCAGACTCCCTCATAGCCGATACGGACTTGCGGTCACCTAATCAGCCGCCGCCGTGATTGTTTTTGTTTTGATTCAGGCTGCGCTCGTTGAACTTGACTCCAATTGGATGAGGACACTGCCTGTGCAGAGTCGTCTCTGGGGTTTGGATCGGGCGGTGATGTGATGTCCTGCCAAAGCCGAGGGCTCGCATCCCAACTTTTGTGTGACTTTGTGTGCGTGTGCTGGCTCTTACAGGCCGCAGGCCCAAAATGGATGTGTTTACCATCACCGGCTCCCTCTCGGCCCGTCAAAGAGGCCTCTGTTTTCGTTCGAGAAACGGAACACCGCCGTTAGTGGTTAGCATCGGAGATCCATTAATTTCTCTCTCTCTCTCTCTCTCTCTCTCTCTCTCTCTCTCTCTCTCTCTCTCTCTCTCTTTCTCTCTCTCTCTCTCTCTCTTGACTTTATGACCAGAGCTCCATGTGATGTAATCAACACTAATGCAGTAGTTAAGTCACAATTATGGTAGATATTTGTATGAAAAAGCACTTCGAGTCTGCTAAAAATAAATAAATAAATAAATAAAAATAAATAAAAAATTAAATGCAAAACAGTGAGCGTGCTTTCTTCTTCTTAGTAGTCAGTTACCCACTGTTACAATAAAATGTGAAAACAACAAAACACCCAGTTGTTTTGGACGGGGAGTCAAACAGAAAATTCGAGATTTTTACGTCTGGGATTACAACCGAAAACCGTTTTTTGACCAAACTGAGCAAACCCGAATACGTCACTTGATTCCTCTCGGCTTCCTTACACGAGGAGGTGACGCTTCCTCGTGTACCGTTCTTTGTGAGCAGACGTGTTTGTTGTGATTTATGCAAATCTGACTGCTTTTGTTATTTCTGCATCATGTAGTAGCCCCTAATCATGGGCTAATAAAATAGTTTCGGATTTTGAACAAATCGCTTTTTGAACAGCCTACGGTCGAAAACCGAAGTATGACTTTGTGTGTGTGTGTGTGTGTATGTGTGTGTGTGTGTGTGTGTATATGTGTGTGTGTGTATATGTGTGTGTGTGTATAT